TGTTCCCTATCAATGTACTGCTGTAACCATTTTTGAATTATTTTCTGCAAAATTTTACTTGCATGTGATATTAATGATATTGTTTGATAATTTCCGTATTCTGTTGGTTCACCTTTGGGATGGGCACAGATATGGATCTCTTCCAGTCAATTGGCTAGGTACCTATCTCCCAAATTTCCTGGCATAGATGAGTGACTATCTCCACTATTGCATCGGTTTGTTGAAACATCTCAATTGTTATTCTGTCAATTTCTGAAGCCTTGTTTTTTTGCCAGTCCCTCAGTACAGCCTGGACATCTTTCAGTACCATTGGTTCTTGATCATACACTAACTCCTGAAACAGCTGACTGTCAACCAGTTTTTTTGGTAGTGACTCTGTGTATTCCTGGTCATTCAGTATTTTGCCCGTAGGATCTCCTGTGGGACATCAGTCATACTGGATTAGTATGAGCAGGGTACTGAGGTTATAATTAGCAAGGGCTTCTTGTTAAAGCCAGGATGACGGAAGGCGAGAAGGCTGTGGCTGCTTCTGCCCTTGTTTGCTTGTGAGATGACACAGCCTAAGATAGGTCAGGCCAAGGAGCAAACCTGGACCCTAACTCCCAGGGCCCTTCTGAGTGGCTGGGCTATTTTTATTTATTTGTTGTTTTTAAGTCTCCAAAGGAAGCTCTCGATCTTGCTCCAGGTCACTGTGTAAAATTTGGCTTCAAAAAAACAACTAAACCCCCTTCTTGGAGTACAAGAGTGGGTCTGCTCTCTTCCTGTTCAACAACGGAGCTGTGACCAGACGGGACATCCCTGTGGATACAAGCTGTGACTGCGGTTGGCTGGTAACTGAAAGGCTAGAGGTTTGAGTCCACCCAGAGGCACCTCAGAAGAAAGGCCTGGTGATCGATTTCTGAGAACTCAGCCGTGAAAACTGTACAGACCACAGTTCTCTGACTCGGGGAGTCACCATGAGACAGAGGGAAGGGGCCCAGGAGACCATGGTGGCCGTTTGCCATGTTATAGCTGGTGTGTCCTCCCGTCTCTGACAGGGAATGCCATGGTGGCCCATAAGTACCCTCCCCGTATGGAGGTTGGAGGCATTCTGAAGGGCCATGGCCTTGAGAGCAGGCAAGTGCCTGTCTGGGATCCAGGGCTGCACAGGAACAATTTCAAGTTCATGACCGCCACCTCAGCACCGCCACTGCTTCTGTGCCT